AACCTAACAACATTAGGGACAAACATGCTTACAATGATGAAAGAGAACTTCTCTTATCACTCAGAATCCAAGGGGCAGCAGTGACACTGATTCTATCTGAGGGTTGGTTACCTGTCATGCTTCTTCCCTTACCATCTTCCTTCCCTAGATCCCACTTTCAAGGAAAATGCAAGCTCTTTCACAGATACGAATAGAGACAGCACTAACAAATTAGTAAACCCAGGCATCTCATTATTTGATTACCATTTTTTTAAAACCATCTCACCCATTCTGCTTTAGAGTCTCTGCTGAAAAAAAGTAAACAAAAAAATTTGCTTTAGAGACTAGGGATATGCTGTTGTTTTGGTTGTTGTGTGTGGACCACTGGTGTTCTGAACTTAGATTCATTTGTGAGCCTCTAGAGGTTTTTCAGAGGCTGAAAATAAAGAGCATAAGAAGGAGCAGATACAAGGAGGAGTAACTGCATGTTAGGTGTCCACCAAAGTAACAGATTCCAGTTGAAACTTTATTAAATGAAGTTTGAGATTAATGTATGATCTCCCACCTCCACTTCCTTAACCAGTCTTGATCTGCCAACATTATCATTCTGTTGTTGTTCTTATGTGCAGTCAAGTCAACTGTGACTCAAAGTGACCTTAAGAAGGGGAGATCTAAACCTTGCTCTATCCTGTGTCATCTTCACCCTCTTCAACACACTTAAGATCACTGTTACAATCCTAGTGTCAATCCATCTTGTTAGGGGTCTTCCTCTCTCATGCTGACTCTTCCACCTTTCCATGCATGATGACATTCTTCAAGGACTGGCCCCTCCTAACAGTATTGTCACCATATGTGAGACAGAGTTTCACCAGCTTTGCCTCCAAGGTAGACTCTGGCTTCACTTTCTCCAAGACAGACCTGTTTGTTCTCTTGGCAGTCTCTGGGATCTTCAGTACTCTGCTCCAGAACTACAACTCAAAAACATTGATTCTTCTTCTATAATCATCAGTCACTGTTCAACAAGCAATTGAGAAAGCCAAGTCTTGAGTCAGATGCACCTTAATCTTTAAATTGACATCATTACTCTTTAGTGTTCTGAGACTGCACTTAATGTGAAACCTATATTTGGACCACAAGGTAGTCATCAGAACAGAGTGAGGAAACACTACATGGCTCAAAATCAGGAAGGGTGTATGCCAGGGATGTGTCCTATCTCCATACCTTTTCAATCTATATGCGAAACAGATCATTCAAGAGGCTGGGCTCTGTGACAAGGAATGTGGTATCAGGACTGGAGGAAGACTCATCAGCAATCTATGTTATGCAGATGGCACAACCTGGCTTGCTTAAACTAAGGAGGACTTGAAGTGCTTGCTGCAGAGGTCAAGGACTGGAGCCTTCAGTATGGATTAAAGCTCAATATCAAGAAAGCAAAGATTGTCACCACTCAGCCAATTGACAGCATCATGATAGTGAAGAGACTGAGATTGTTAATAGGTTCAGTTTGCTAGGTTCCATAATCAATACTCTAGATACCAGAAGCCAGGAAATCAAAAGATGAATAGCATCAGGGCAATCTGCTGTCAGAGAACGCTTCAGAGTACTGAAGAGCAATGGTGACAGACTGGAGACTAAGGTGCACCTGATCCATGGTCTTCAGGCCATGATCTTCACAATTATATGCTACACATCAGAAAGCTGGACAATGACTAGGGATGATAGAAGGATAACTGATGTTTTGAGCTGCGGATTTCAAGAAGAGTATTGAATATACCAAGGACTGCTAAGAGAACAAACAGTTTCATCCAGGAGAGGGTGAAACCACACAGCCCCTTGGGAGCAAGGATTTTGAAGCTCTGTCTAACATACCTTGAGCATATAGCAAGAATTAACCAGTACTTGGATAGGGAGAGACAGCACAAGAGAGGAAGACCCTCAATGAGAGGGACTGGCTCATTACTGGGGTTATGTGTGTCAAAGAAATAAGGTTGGCTCAAGATAGAATGGGGTTCAGAGCAATTGTACATAGGGTCACTATGAGTTACAGGCAACTGGGTGGCACCTAACAACAACAACAACTCTTTAATACTCTGGAAAGGTCTCTAACAGTAGATTGAAAGGTCTCTGACAGCTGACCTGATGGTAAAAAATAATGTGCTTTTCACTCACTTTGTTTATTCTTTAGAGTGGTTATAAAACAAATAGGATTTAAGAAACTATAAAGATGAAGAATGCAGATAAAATACAGTTAACCATAAGTAATATATTTATTTTTTTAATATTTTTTACAAAAAAGAAAAAACTTCAGGGAGCTCTGGTGGCCTAGTGGCAAGAAGCTGCACTGCAATCCCAGAGTTAGGTGGTTGGATACCACCAGACAGCTCTGCTGGAGAAGGAGGGGCAATCTCCTCCTGTACCAGTCAGATTTGATTTGATGGTACACACAAAAGATAATAAATTTTAAAAAAAAACTTATTAAAGACAATTTTTCTCAAAAAAAGTCCTACTTCCAAAATAACTTTGATGTCCTAATGTAAAGATCTCTGTTAATCTCCTAGCAAGGATAGTGGCCAATCTATGCCCTGATCTTTTACTCAGTTAAGAGTTAAGAGTAAAGAGTAAAGTTTACTACTTTAAAATTGGCATTTGGGGAAACCGAAGCACAGTGAGCTTAAATAATTTGTCCTAGGCCACACTTTACTGTTAGATCAAGACCACAAAACCAGGTCCAGTCTGGACCCAGAGTCCATGCTCTTAATGACCATGATTCCCAGAAGTCAGGGGACTTGTTGTACTCACTGTGGTACACAAAAGGAGTCAATAAAGCACTCATGGATATATAAACAAACAGGAAGTGGCAGTATGCCCAAATGATTGGAAAAAGATATGAAGAGAGTATCTAATCTGGAGATGAAAGGGTATTTGGGGGATTGTTGTTGATTGCCTTCAAATCGAGCATGACACATAGAGACCCTATGAACAAAAGCCCTGAAGCCCCTCTACAACTATTGACATTTATCCAAGTTCATAGAGTTTCTAGAGGCACGTTATTTAGGAAGTGGAAGTCTTTCCTGTTTGGGGATACAGAAGAAAAACTGGCAGACTCTCTGGCTGGTCTCCATTCCAAGTTCCCTGCTCTCCCAGGAAGATATTTCTCAAATCATTCCTCTCATCTCATTATTATGTAAATATTATTTCTCAAACTCTTACAGGAAACATTCCTCCTTAAGGTTTGGCAAAGGAGGGGCTCTGATGATGGTTTACTTTAAACACTGGCTGTAAACCACAAAGTTGGCGGTCAGAACTCACCAGAAATCCTGTAAGCAAAAAGCCTGTGGACCTGCTCCCATAGAGATGGTGGTGGTGGTGGTTGTTATGTACTGTCAAATCGGAACAAATTCACAGCTGACCCTTCAGCAGAGTTTCAAAGGCAGTCAATCATATTGGAGATTGTCCACTTTTCTCGCACATACCAGGTGATGGACACATACTTCGTGCCTTCAGGTTGGCAGCCCACCTCCTTACCATTCTGTCAACAGCACTCTCCCATAAAAGCACAGGATAGGGAGCCCTAAGCAGCAGTTCTGCTTTGTGCTATGAGTCACCATGAGTGAGAATCAAGGTGATGGAACACAGTAATGGGAACAATGTCTGGCTGATGAGAGTAACTATACCCTTAAAAATTAGACATGCAGCTGAAAGAGCAGCCAGAACAGGGAACTCCTCACCTTGAATAGAATCCTCTATTCAAGTCTGGAATCTATTTTACAATGTATCTGTTTAACCACAAAAACCAATGCTAACATCTACTTGCTATGCATCTGAAAGGTAGACAATGAATAAGGAGACTAGGGAAAGAATTGACACCTTCAGGCTGTGGTGCTGGAGAAGAGCACCAAGAAAACAAAGAGCTATGTTTTGGAGAGGGTGCTCTTTGGAGGCAAGAATGATGAAGCTTCACCTCACAGACTCAGGGCATGTTGCTAGGAGGGACTAATCCTTAGAGAATGACAAGATACTGGGAAGGGTGGAAGATCACAAGGGAGAGGAAGACCCTTGACCAGGTGGATTGACACAGTGACTGCTGTAAATGGGCTCCTGTGTGTCAGGAAGTGTGAGGATGGCACAGGATAGAAGAGGGTTCTGATCTTTTGTTTGTAGGGTCGCTATGGGTCACACTAGACTTGTTGGCACCTAACAACATAACCATTATTTCTACCACCTCCTGGATTGCATCTTCATTCTTCCTGGCTACTTAATGCTGCAGATTTGTAGACACCAGGCTACGGAGCCAGTCTAAATTACTTTTTAAAAAATTACCAATTGAGTTGAAAGCACTTACAGCTTACCATCCACTGGATTTCTGAGATGTACAGTACAGAATGAGACTGCTCTTCTTTCTTTGGTGGATTTAATGGTCGATTTGAACCAGCAGAAAGGTGATTCAAATCCCTGGAGAATAGGCCACCAGTTGCACAAAAAAATCCCTTACTCACCAACTCCACTTCCTATCACTTTAATAACTCAATTGTTTGTAACCATCATCATATTTCAAAGTGTTTTCACCTCTTGGGTTTGCAAGATATGCTCTCCTTGCTAACTGTGCGTAAGTGTGACTCTAGGCCAGTCTTCTCTCTCTCTTCCTCCCCAGGAGTGTGGATACTTGGTAATTCTTCTCACCCTGCTCACATTTGTTTACTTGTCTGTAATTCCCTAACCCGCCCCTGGAGATAGGCCCCAAATGTAGCAGATGTAGTCATCTTAACATCCCAAGAGCCAAGCTCAGGTAAAGTGTATTGGAAACTGGGATCAACCACAAGAGCTAATGCACTCTTTCAAGTAGGAAAATCAAAGTTGACTAGGAAAGTGAAATTTCAAACAAATGGAAAGGTCTAAACTCATCTTCAATTGGGTATTTCTTCGTGCTAGATATTACTCCGGGTTCCGGGAGGAGGAGGAGACATCAAGTCCAAAGTGCCCAGAAGTTAGCTGAGATCAAAGGAGGCGAAGGAGGCACTCACCAACTGGTGGAGGGCGCATGTTTGTTCTCCAGGGTTTTGGTCCAGGGCTTGTACCAGCTGATCTGCTCCGCAGCTTTGCCCCAGAACCTCTCTGGGTCTGTGACTGAGGCCGCGAAGTGCGTCTTGTACTCGCTGCTGCTTCCTGAGGACAGTGGTCGGCAGCCTCGACCCCCAAGGCCACCCCTGGGGCTCGGGGCCACATAAGCCCTGCGGGCTGGCCCAGGTCCTCGGGCTGGAGTGGACCCTGGCAGTGGCCCCCCGAGTCCGCCGGCTCCAGTGACCTTGCGACATTGCAGCCAAGAGGGCTTCATCCCCGCTGATTGCTCCAGCAGGCTGCGCAACCCACTTTCACCGGGAGTGACCAGAGGGACCCAGATTGCTTCTAGGGGCCCAAAGAGAAGCGAGCGGGAGGCGGGAGCAAATTCTAAGAAACCTAAGAGTTGTAGAAGTCACACTAGAGTCGTCCGGAAAAACCGACCTGGAGCCACTGAGGAGTCAACAGAGTGGAGGCTGAGTGTCGTTGCGCTCAGTGGTTTGTGCCGCGTCACAAGATCCAGTGCCGGCATGCATTTCCAACCCAGAGAATTTCCCTGGAAAAGCACCCCCAAACTGCAGAAGGACCCCGATTCTGCGTGCAATCACTCCTCCACTTCTAGGAAGAGACCACTGAACCTTGTCATTTCATATGTTCAAACAATCGTGTGCCGTTTGCCTAGTTTACTCTTTGGAGAAGGAACTCAAGAGGGAGACCTAGCTTCCAGCCCGCAACAGAAACTGTCAAGCCCCTTAAACTATTTTAGTTTAAGCTTTCCAGTCAGTACGTACAACCCTGTTAAAGACACCGAGGGGAACTCCGGAGCAAAGATTGCTCCAGGATTTCCTGAGAGCTGAATGGGTAGGCGGAGTGGAAGGAGGTTGGATCAACCAAATTGGGAAGTGCTTTGCTGGGGTGATTGATAGTCCACTGGGGAAGGTAGCCCAACTCTTGGGGATTCACCTGCTGACCAGCCTTCCTCTGGAGACTGAGGGACTGCGCAGAAAGGATGTGTTGTTGTATGTCTTCCCTTCTGATTTGCCTCTCTGGAGTTTCTGTGGCCTGCTCCGTCCTCTCCTTAGTAGTTAAAAGAAATGAAATAGTCAAACTTAAAAGTTAAGTAAAGATGAAACAAACAAACAAAAAAAAAAACAAAGGAAAAACTGTGGGTAAATTAAGAGAAAGGTGATATAAATTGCTGTTTAGCGTTATCATGCATGTGTCAAGCTTATTTAATATTTTCATGATATTTCGTTTGTGTTCCTTTTATGCCAAACACAGTTTGCCTTGGGGAGGCAATATTTGCAATTTTGAATGTAAAAAGTGTTACTTCCAAATCCAAGAGGTGAAATAAGTGAATGGTCCTGTCCCTAGGAAGGGCCATGATCTGGAGCAGCTGTGAACACATTATACAGTAGGAAGAAAATAATGTGACCATCAGGCTTAAAAGAACACAAATCATTCTACTGCAAAACAACATTAGCTCTTTAATCAGCATAACTCTTGCCTCGCTAAGGATTGCTGAGTGCTTACATACTTTTATGCATTCCACCTCTAATGGAAGGGTTGGTTGTTCAGACTCACCCACCAGAGGGGTCTGGGAAGATCACAGCCTTGAAAATCCTGTAGTTCTCTTCAACCATGAGGCCTCCATATATTCGAACCAACTCAGTGACAGGCAGCAATTTCCTTTCAACTAACAAATAAGATTTCAGTGACTTAAAACCAGCTGTAGAGTTGTTTCTCCAAAGCATCTCTAAAAGGATGCAAGTGACCAACTTTTTGTTTAGTTAGGGAGTGGATGGTGGTGCCGAGAATAAATCACAAGGGCAGTGGTTCAAACCCAGCAGCTGTTCTATATAAGATAGATGAGGTAGTCTAGTCCCATAAGATCTACCTCAGAAGCCCTTTGAGGCTTTGTTCTACTTTGTTCTTTAGGTTCACATGAGTCAGAATCTACTAAGTGTCAGTGAGCTTAGTTTAGGTTTGCTCATTGCAATGAAGGCCACTTTCCATCATTCAATGAACAAACATGTGAACAACTAAGTTACTCAGGGTAGAATTCATTGAGAGAAACATGGGGGAAGGGAAGAGACAGTCCTTAGCATTTGTAATGCATACACATTGTGCTAAACTTTCAAGCACTTACACATTGTAGTGATAACACATTATTACATAGTATTACAAATATTACATATTACACATTGTTACATAAACATTATTACTGTCAGAACTTATTGCTAACAACACTCCAGTAGGTTTTCAGAAGCAGTAATTATACTAGGAGTTGATTGCCCATCTTTCTCCTGTGAACCCACTGGTGAATTTGAATCACATGCCTTTGGAATGGCAACACTAGGCTACCAGATCTTCTAAATTAACACCAACAGTGGTAAATGGAGAAGAGATCGAGTTTGTTAACAGCTACAGCTTGTTAGGCTTCACAATCAACACTTTTGGCACCATCAGTCAGGAAATCAAAAAGTGAATTGTATTAGATAAATCTGTTGTCAGAAACCTTTCCAGAGTACTGAGAAGCAATGATGTCAGTCTAGAGACTAAGGTGTGTCTGGTTCGGTCCACAGTCTTCACAATTACTTGCTATGCATCAGAGAGCTGGACAATGACTAAGGAAGATAGAAGAAGAATTGATGCCTTTGAGTTGTGGTGCTTGAGAAGAGTCTTGAACATACCATGGACAGCCAAGAAAATGAGTAAGTCTGTCTTGGAGAGGGTAAAACCAAGTTCCTTCTTAGAAGCTGGGATTTAGAAGTTCTGTTTCACATCTTTGAGTATGTGGCCAGGAGGGACCGATCCTTGGAGAAGGACATCATGCTTGGAAGGGTGGAGAGACAGCACAGAAGAGGAAGACCCCAGATGAGACGGATTGATACAGTAACTAGGACAATGTGGGGAGGTGTATCAAAGTTAGTGAGACTGGTGCAGGTCAGGGCAGGCTTCAGAGCTATTGTACATTGGGTCACTATAAGTTGCAGACAACTTTATGGCACATAACAACAACAACAACACACAAGTACTAACAAAAGGTGTCATCTCAAACTTTATCAGCCCTCAGATCTCCTCAGTTCATTTGCCTTAAATTACAGGTGTACTATGATCCTTATCTTTTCTGCCTCCGGTAGAAGGTTCATGGTCAATTAAACATAGCACTACCACTTACCTCCCATAATCTTCTGAGCAGTACATACATATTACAACATAGAACCAACTGTAACATAGACACAAGTCTTCTATTCCTTAAGTAACTGATTAAAATAAATTCCCCACTAAACCAGAGGTGCAGACTGAGAAAAGAAGGTAATGTGGCATGGAGGAGCTCATGGAAGTGTAGCCACTTCCTCACCTGATTGACTTCTGCCTTTAAGTCCTGCTGAGTCTGATCTCATCTATCCCTTTTCCATAAAGGATGGAGTGCCGCTCTGCACTTCCACCTTAATGACAACGGTCGATGTTGGGCACTTAGCACATGAGGGACAGTGGAGGTTTTATGGTGATTTGGTGCACCAGGGTTAAGCATTCAATCCCTAAGTCCCAGTAAAAAGCCCAAAGCTGTTTCTCAAAAACAGAATATCTGCAGATGGCATTGCTTTGCATCAAAATCTCAAGGTTTTTTGGGGTTTTTTGTTTATTTTCCAGTAATCCATCCATGGTGACCTGCCAATGACCCTAAAAAGCATCTCTATCTGCCAATGGCAATACAGGGCCCATTGGATCAGGTGGATTGTGTAGCCTAAGGAGTAGTTGACTTTCCCAACAGCTTGGACCTGTTGCAGAGCCTTTTTTTGTTCACACTCAAAACTAACACCTTTTAAAGCCACTTGATCAATACACTAAATAAATACACCAGATTAAGTGTGTGCTGCCTTGAGAATCTAAAGAAGCCCACCTGGTGTTATGCCTCCTTTTTAGTAGTGGGAAGGACAAGATGCAATAATTGATCTTTCACTTGAGACACATTATATAGATATGCCCCTCACCATTGCACAAACATTTAACTGCATTATGCTGAGTGAACCAACTCAGTCCCACAAAGACAAATATTGTATAGAACCATTATTGTAGAATGAGCTTAAGTATCCAATGGGGGGGGTGGAAGCAGAGGGATGAGGATGTGAGGATGTGCAGGAGGAGGGAGGGTAATCATGGGGTTGTACAATTTGCTGAGGGCAGGATGAGAAAAATTGGAAAAATCTGTTCTGGAAAACAATGTACTTGAATTTTGTAAATAAGCTAGTATAATTTAAAAAAAATTAACTGAAACAGGATTGACCTGAATAATTGTTGGGTTAATTTTTAATTAACTGACACTGACGCCTTACTAGGTGAATCATCATGTCATTAATGTGATAGTCTAGGGTAACATCTTATGGCAGGGCCAACACATCAATAGCCTTGAAAATGAAACACACTGCTAGAAAGTTGATATACTTCTGAGACGTGACAATAACACTGTATTGATGACCTTGACATGGGAAGGCAAATGCTTCTAGTGATCCCTCTAAACCCAGATGAAGAAATATTTGTTGCTCAGATTAGTAGATGCATAACAGGACATGCATGTTGCTTTTCTCAAGCAATGAACTCATAACCAGAACAATTAGAATTATCACCTGGTTAACTTAGCAATAGCCCATTGTTACTCTCTAAGATGCAAATGTTGTTATTGTCGTTGTGTACCGTCGAGTTGAACCTACCCATAGCTGACCCTCTGGTGGATTTTTAGAGGGAGTTAATCACACAGAAGATCACCCATCCTTCTCCCACAGAGCAACTAGTGGATTCGAATTGCATGCCTTTGGGATTGCAGTGCAGCTATCTATCCCTAGGCCACCAGTGGTATGAAGATCCAAATTGTTGTTGTGTTGTGTACCGTTGAGTCAGAATTGACCCAAAGCTGATCCTTTTATAGGTTTTCAGAGCCAGTTTATCACATGTGAGGAGATTTCTCATTCTTCTCCCGTGTGTTGTGTTTGCCATCAAGTCATCTGTGACTCAGCGACCCTATGCACAGTAGCTCTGAATCCTCTTTCATGAGCCAAACTTATCGTCTCTGAGACACCTACCCTCATTACCCCAGTCACTGAGTAAACCCATCTCATCCAGGGTCTTCCTCCCTTGTTGCTGTCCCTCCCATGCCTCCCAGGCATGACATCCCTTTCCAAGGACTGGCCCCTCATTGCAAAATGCCCTAAGTATGTCAGACAGTTTCAGACTCCTTGTCACTAAGGAGCAGCCTGGTTTCAACCTCTCCAGGTCAGACCTCTTTCTTCTCCTAGGAGTCCATGATGCATTCCATACTTTCCAGCACCACAGCTCAAAGGCATCATTTCTCTTTCTGTCATCCCTAGGCATTGTTCA